TTTCATACCTTTGAGTATTTGATTCAATGAGAATAGAATAGCTTCCAATTTTAAGCTTGATTAGGGTGCATGTATCAATGGATTATGGATGAGTAGATGACAGGTGTCATTTAATTAATCTTCATAGGCTAATTTGTCCCATGGATCACACTCTGTTTTACTTTTTCATTGCCAATCCAATAAAAGAAAATTTTCAAAGAAAAATGGACCTTTAATTATGCATCACTCACGGGATTAATATATGCAAATAGGTTTTTATCTGTGTAAAGAGAAGTCAAATTTAAATTAGATGAGCTCCAATTCCAAAACAAAAAACAAGAGAAAAAGAAAAACCACCTGTATATGCTGCTGCTATATGCATCCGTGGTGAGAGTGGGATTCTTGACGCGTCGCCCATGCACTGATGCACATGAACTTTACAGAGAATTGGACCGATCTCACATGGACATCCATAGGAACTTGTGCGTGTTCTTCTAAGTTATAACGCTGTGAAAATCGATCTATAATTCTTTTTTTGGTTTTGATGGTGCCTGCATGATGATGAAAGCAAGCCCTCTTACTTTAAAATGATTTGCTCTTTTGCTTCTCCTTCAGATACGAGGGTGCTGTAACGCAATAACAGAACACAAGAGAGCAAATATAGGAGAACAATGTGCTGTGGTCTGTGGTCTGTTGTGTGGTGTGTGGTGTGGACAATATTAAATCTGAATGATTTATAACAACAGAAAATATGAAACAAAATTTGATAGATATCTCTGTTTATAGATCACTAGCTAGATTCACTTTGAGTAGTAATAATATTCTTGAATTGGTCATTTTGTCCTTTACACATCCATCCCCTCCGCTAGTATGAAAAATTGCTTTCAGCAGTGTCCATTGTCCAATGTCTTTATTATGCATCCATGTGTCGGGTTACAGAACCAGAGGCCCTCTCCAGTGTACATTTACTGTCAAAACTTTATATTATAATGTTTTAAGCAAATCTAGTACAAGAATGTGAGTTGAGTTTGCCTAAGGATTTTATATATGCCTCTTCATGGTACTTGAAAGAATAGATTACTGTATACAAGCTGGACATGAGTTGGGTTACAAGCAAGTAAGGGTGAGACATATGGAGGACCTGATCAACTTGATGGTTTTGGAATTTGATTAATCTCAGGCATCTCCCAAGAAAAACAAATAATTAAAAGAAATCTTCCATGCAAAATCTGACATATATACATAAACAATACATTTGCCATTTTCTTAATGCATATTCAACAATGTCTTGTAGCAAATGAAATTAAAACGAAGAAGGATGGGGACTGACGTCTGAGGAGTGAGTGAGGAGATACCTCTCTCTCTGCCTATGTACTTTTCCTCTTTCTAAAAATAATAACGTTATTAATATACCAAAATGTAATTAGTATAACATAGTTTTTTTAGGGCAGAGAATAACATAGTTAGTTACATTCCCCATCTATTTCTGCAAAATTGCTTGTGTGTGTGCATGTCTTGCCTCACAATTGGGCCTGACGTTCCTTTAGTTGTGTTGGACAATTAATCGCAGGTAACATACCCTTTTAATTTCAGAGGTTCACAAGCACACCACGGGGTCCCTCTTTCTCTTTCTGTTTGATTCCGTCATTGATGCGGGAGCCTGAGGCTCGGGGAGCTTTTGTTCTTCAGAGTTCTCCATCAACGGTAACCTCTCTCTCTCTCTCTCTCTCTCCAATGTATATAGGACAATGTTCTTAGGAAAATATGTTATATCTTTTTCAGCATGAATAGGTATGACCATCATTCTATATCTTAGGCTATATCATAGAATTACCTTTTATGGTCCGTGCATGTCTTCAAGAAATGTGTTGTTTCCCATTGATGTTTGGGCCAGACAGCTCTTCAATATGTAACATATACTTGGGTTTGTAACAATGTAGGCTCATGTTATTGACGATTAAGAATGGTAATTGGCATTTTCAATTGAACCACAAGTTGTTATTGTAAAACTTTAATCAGATTTTTTCATGATACCGGTATCATGGAAACTACCTCAAGCATCATATTTCTGCCAAAAAAGAGATTGGCATCATGTCAATGATCATTGTCCTGATAATAAGCTTAGAAATTATTTCCTGTTGTTATCATGCTTAATGTGTCAAATTCTAGTGGCACTAATGTTTATCTTATGGGAATATTATGATGCAAATGCAGTGTTTTCTGATGTGAATATTTTTGCCGATGCACATCTCATCGCATTTTCTTTAGTATTTTTTCAAAAGTTTCAATTTTCAGGGAACTTACCTCTGGATCCAACAAAAAAAAAAGAGAAAAGGGCACTTACATCTGGGAGAAAGAAAACGGTTAAGCTAATGACATTTGATTCTTCAATAATATTGTATCTGTTCTTCGGTTCAAATTGGCAGTTATATTCTCCTTTTTAAAAGATCATTTCAAATTGGTTTTGCACTTCAGTTCGAAAGAAGATGCCAGACTTTCAGTTGGAATCTCACACATTAAAATCTCATGGAGTCAAAGTGGCTAAAGTGCACAAATATGATTGGTTAATTCTTCTGCTTCTTGCTGCGGTTGATATAACTTTGAATGTTATAGAGCCTTTCCACCGTTTTGTTGGCGAGGAAATGATGACTGATCTGAAATACCCTTTTCATAAGGACACCATACCTTTTTGGGCTGTTCCAGTATGTATCTGATTCTCATAATCTCTTATCCTTGTACCTTACAGAGAATATCAGTGAACACTTTTAAGTTTTCTAGTTCTACATTTGTATCTATCTTCCAGGAGAAAAAGAAAAACTAATACTTGACTATATCTTGAATTCCTGTGTCAGATTTACGCAGTAATCTTGCCTCTTGTCATCTTTCTCCTGTACTATTTTTGCAGAAAGGATGTTTATGATTTGCACCATGCCATATTGGGTATTTTCAGTGTCCTTTTGGGCTTCCACTATACCAGTTTTTTTGTTTTGTGGGCTAATGGTTACATTTGCAACTTAGGTCTTTTCTATTCTGTTCTTATAACTCTTGTTATAACCGATTCAATCAAAGATGCTGTTGGTCGCCCCCGTCCAAACTTCTTCTGGCGGTGTTTCCCTGATGGAATAGGTGTAGGTGACAACTTTCTTTTTTCTATCCATTAAGGCTTGTTCTTGCATTATGCTGATCACTAACTTGTCAATGGAATCTAAAGGAATTTGATCCTGTCAGTGGCAATGCTATGTGTAATGGAGATAAGAAAGTTATCAAGGAAGGACATAAAAGCTTTCCTAGTGGGCATACTTCAAGTAAGTGAGAATAGAAAGATATCCATGCTCTTATCTTGATAGTTAAACGCATAGTTTTTTGAGGTCTATTGCTGCTATGAGTAACCATTTTATGAGGCCTTCCAGAATATTATGTAGGCACATTTTGCGTTCATATTCTTGTTTTCTCTATCTTACAGAAAACTGCTATTTGAGTATTTTTCAGTTTATTTTGTACTGGAACGTGTATAATGTGGAAGCATAATGTTAGTTGTTTGTATCAAATCATCCTTGTTCTGTTTGTTGGTATTTCTAAGGTTATGCTGTTGAAAAAGACTCTACATAATTGGGTTTGTACTTGTCATTATGCAGTTTCATTTGCAGGTCTTGGTTTCCTTGCATGGTATTTGTCAGGGAAAATTAAAGTGTTTGATCGTAGGGGCCATTCTGCAAAGCTCTGCATAGCATTTCTTCCGTTACTCTGCGCTGCTCTTGTGGGAATCTCTCGTGTGGATGACTACTGGCATCATTGGCAAGACGTCTTTGCTGGAGGTCTTATAGGTTTGCTACTAAATGCATGATAAAATTTCCATTTCCTGCCACTATAAAAACTTGGTTTAGAAAACAGATAGTAATCCATATATTGGGGCCTTGAATTTGTTTAAGTGCAGGAATTACCATAGCTTCAATTTGTTACTTGCAGTCCTTCCCTCTTCCAAACCAGCACGATGGTGCGTCTGCTGTCTTATTTATTTCCTCTTTTCTCTCCTGTCGGATATCTTAATTAGTTCATGTTTCATTCATTCATGGATAGCAAATGCTAATCTAGTGTGTATGCCTGTACTTTTGTGCTTTCTTCCTTAGAAGATAGACCTTATGGTTGTTGATATAGTTGTGGCAATTATTGTATATGGACTTCAGAAAGAATTGAAATTATTGAAACTTTCCGCAGCAGCTTAGACATTTGTTGGCCTTTTGACTTTGATACCTAAAATTAAGAATAGAAACTTGAGTGAGGACCTTGGGATGTAGAAATGCATAGGGTTATTAAGATAAAATCAGTTTGAAATCAAGAACATGGCACTGTAAAAATTAATCTGCTGTCAGTCTCTCTCATTTTGTTGAATTTTCATTCAAGCAGTAAATTTTTAGACAGAAGAATGCTTCAAGTATTTATGAAATAATCTGTCATTTATCCCCTATCTACTATATATATATATATAACCTTTGGATTCTTAATCTTGAACTTGCAGGGTGGGCACCTCATGCATATTTTTCCATGCTGGCTGCAGAGAGGAATGGTGGCCAATCCATGTCCCCGGCCACAAGGGCTAATTCTCTTCGTATGCGGAGAACAGATATGGACAGTCCAGATTTCACTCCACGAGATACCAGTCCACCACCCCACCAATTACTGGAAGAAATGGAAACTGGGAGAAGATACTGATTTTGCAGTTGTATATATCAAATAGAAATAATGACTTACTTCAGGAAGATACTTTGTAGATGCAGAACTTCATTTGATGACTGTAGCTCCCAACTTCATTCTTTATTCAATGAAATTTTTTCCATGTCTTGCTTTCCAAGTTTCATTTTCAGGCTGCTGTGGCAATATGACTTTGAGATCGATGTACTCTTTCTAAACCTGACGGTCTTTTAACAGCTGAGGTCATTGGCTATTAGGAGAGACATTAAAAGGAGAAATCTCAAGTCAAAGAAAACAAATATGAAACATTAAATGGCGGGGCCCGTCTTAGTTAATGTCTGAACCCCCAACCTAACTTTCAGGAACCGTTGGCTGTTAATTGGTGATTGGTGGCAACAAGAAAAGCTATCCCACTTACATAATTACAGTTGCTACGCTGCCTGCTCTCATAACTTCCTTCAATTTAAGCCTCTTACCTTATTTCCCTTCGAATAAATAGCTGCACCTTCATCTGCATCTTCACTAACACACTAAATATATCGCCTTGGCATGTAGCTCTCTCCATGATTCCATCTCTCAGAAAAATATGCAGACATTTACCGGATTCTGTGGAAGCATGAAGAGGTACAGGAGGAGAAGACAATATCGAAGACTAAGAAGTGTGGTTAGCAATGAGGAAAATGCTGGGGTTTCAATGGCAGAAGGGAAACGTCCCAAGTTTTGGAAACTCAGAGCGACCCCAAAACTGCGAATGACGGTTACATCATCGGTAGTGCTGTTGAAAAGGTTGAGAAATACTTATGTTGGGATGATGCTTTGGTTTGCTGGTGGTGTTATGCAATTGAATAATGGTAATGTTCACTTATATCAGAAGACTAACGTTTCACAGTCGTTAGCTTGACAGACACCAACTAAGGTTGACTTATAAAGTTCTTAATATTAAGTTGAACAACAATTTGAGTTTTATTCATGTGCTTGTGTAATTTGGAAAGAAGTTCAAATACTATCAAGTTCTTGTTGTGATTTTTATTTTTCTGGAAATCGTGATCGGACAATATAGCGTGACGTGTACAGAACATGCTTTTTTGTAGGTGAAAACATGAAATCTCTTCAGAAAGCAATAATGTATGTAAAATGTTATGTACCTCAACTTGAGCCTACATTAGAAAAGAGAATGGTCCGTACTCCGTATATATCAGAAAAGCTCTTTCATCATGATTCATGATTGAATGATGCGGGCTTGCAGCTGATAAGATTTGCAGCTTTTCAAATATAATGAGACGAATTTGGAACATTGTGCCTTCTTTCTCTAGTTGTAAATTGCAGAAAAAAAAATCTTTCATGGTAATTTTTAGCGTCCATGAAAAATTGAGGGATAGATTTGGGAGTTTAAGTAAGAACAGTTGGACTAGTACCAGTGCTCATATAGTCAATTTCTACAGCAGTTAATTTAAGGGTGTGTGTCTATGTATGTACTATGTATAAGGTTCTTGTCTGATAAATTTGAAAACAGAGTTGTCAAGTCTGCATTTCCTGTAAACGGGTTTACATGATGTGCAGTTTTCTATTGTATTTTTCTGTAAAAAGGAAGGATATATTGCAAGCAATATTGTCTAAGCATTTATGAGTATCGGTTAGGACTCTTATCATATTTTGAATGGTGTTGGTGAGATGACAACATATAAAGCCAAGGCACTTCACATGTTGTGCACGGCATTGGCATGCAGGTCAGGTGGCTATAATTATTAGTTCCTGCCTGCCTGCCTGCCTGCAATTTAAATACTTTTATCTACTTTAACCAATCTGCCTTTTGAACATCCTGCATCTGCATATTCACAATTGTCACTTTGGTTTATTCACCCAGTTTTTACATGGTATGAGCTACACAGACAGCTCCATTCACCCATCTTTCATCCTTCCCTTTGGTGTATGTATATTGTTAACAACTTATAAGTTAACAATAAGAAATCTGGTGAGCTATATATTTTGTCACATGTGTCATGTATGATGTATATGAGAACCTTATGAACAGAAATTGATGCTGCAACAGCAAGACACGTGTTTCAGATTCCTCAAGACTCATCAGTCAAAGTTTGCTGAATTAAAACTTTTGTCATTAGGTGTGAAAATCAATTCAATAAGGATCAACTTGGTTTTGTTTTATTTTTATCAATCAACACCGCACCCCGATAAAATTGACTGCACTCTACATCTGTATTTGTATAAATATAATACCGGCCTAGCCTACCTAATATGTAAAAGCATGGGAAGGGTGAGAGAGTAGAGAATATCATTTGGTGTAGCTGGCTAGGAGAAAAACATGGGTGTCTCTAATTCTGTTGCGCTGGTGGTTGTTCTTCTAGTTGCAGCTGCCATGTTCACCGTGCAGCTAGGTCTGGTCACAGCAGCAGCAGCAGGTATCTATCAATATTTCTCTTTTAATTTAATTTGGTGCATATATCTTGAGTCTATATATTAACTCATTAGTGTTGTATTGCATTGCTTGCAGTTGCAGATGATAAGAATATTATTATAAATAATAGGGAACTGAGAGAACGGCGGCCACCTCCATTTCGTCCAAAATCACCACTTGCAAACCAACAACCAGGCATGAGACTTCCTGCTCCCGATCCTCCACCTCCTCCTCCTCCTCCTCCCCCGCGCTCGCTTCCAAACAACTTCAACAATAACCGTGCCTGATGATGACAATAAATAACTCATCATCTAACATGTTGCTGCTACTTCACTTTTATTTTATATCTAGCAAATGATGTTTCCTTGTTTTCTTCCCTCTGTAATTTGGCCCATAAACGGATAAGATTATTGCTGAGGGTTTTTTTCTTTTCTTTTCTCGTCACGGGATCAGCTTGGCGGGTCCTGTGTTTTTAATATAAATAAATATATAGTATAGCCGACCGGCTATACCCGGTTTTTAATTTTTTTAAAAAATAGTTTGGCCGGCAGGCTATACTCGGTTTTATTAATTTTCATTAAAATCGTATAGCCGCACGGCTATACTTAGGCCAATACTTATATTAGACACGTGGGCACCTAAGCGCTGGGCGCGGCCTCTTTTTTGTCTTTTTTTAAATAGTATCGCCGCGCGGCTTTACTGGGTTTGTTATTAATTTTTCATAAAAATAGTTTAGCCGTTCGGCTATACGTGGTTTTTCATTTTCAAAAAAATATTATAGCCGTTCGGCGATACTCGGTCGTTCCAAAGTTTTTTTAAAATCGTATAGCCGTTCGGCTATACTAGTTTTCCCTATTTTTAAGTATAGCCGGCCGGCTGTACTGTTTTTGACACGTGGCCCTTAGGCGCTATCTGGGTTCTTTATGTCTTTAAGTTTTTTAATTTTAATAGTTTAGCCGTTCGGCTATACTCGGTTTTTTAAAAAAAATAGTATAGCCGTTCGGCGATACTTGGATTTTTTCCGTTAAATAGTATAGCCGATCGGCTATACCAATTTTTTTTTTCAAAAACAGTATAGCCGGTCGGCTATACTCAATTTTCCGAATTTTTTCAAAAACGAGTATAGCTGCTGCCGAATCCATGGTTTTTCCTAATTCTGAGATATTTGTAACAGATGGCGGAGCTGGCGACTCAGAAACATGTTCAATTCATTCTTTCAGCCGAAAAGGTTTGATTTTTATGCAAAATCAATGCATATAGTTTTATTTTGCCTTATATATAATCTACCTAGTAATAATGGTGATACTGTACTCAGAAGAAGGACTGTTAGGAGTCTCTGGCGATGGAGCACCCTTGGGTTTGACCACTCTTGATCTTCTCGGAAAGATTCACACTGTGGATGCCGATGAGGTTGTTTCCTGGGTCCTCCAGTGCCAGCATGACTCAGGTTTTTACAACACTAACTAGTATTTCGTTCTTTATTGTCTGTTTCTTGGTTTAGAGTTCTACAGAAACTGATGACACGATACAGCTTTGTATATGCAGGTGGGTTTGGCGGTAACATTGGGCATGATCAACACATACTATATACCTTAAGTGCTGAGCAGGTTTTGGCCTTATTTGACAATATTGAAGTTCTGGATGTTGACAGGGTTGCAAATTGTATCCTTTACCACATCTATTTGTAAAATTTGAGATAAATGCTCATTCCCCTAATGTGTACATTTTCAGTTGATGAATGGTGTACAAAAATAATTGGTACTTCTTGTGTGGAGCCGCTGCTTGTAGCTCAATTATAATTGGACAATCAAAATAAAGCAGAGAGAAGTTAGCAAATTTGGTTAAACTTAATATTCAACTCAGATGTCGCTATGCTGCAAAATAAAGATGGATCTTTTAACGGGGACATATGGGGTGAAGTTGATACAAGGTAGTATTTTTCAATTTCCTTTGTGTTTTTGCATCTTATATTTGTTGTAGTCACCCGCTCTTTATGCAAAACATGATTCTGTAACAATTGTTTTCAGAAAAAAGTATATAAACATTTTTCTTTTTTCTTTTAGGTTTTCTTATATTGCTATCTGCTGTCTCTCATTACTACATCGTTTGGATAAAATCAATGTGGAGAAGGCAGTGAACTACATTGTAAGTTGTAAAAATCATGATGGCGGATTTGGATGCACGCCTGGTGGGGAGTCTCATGCAGGTCAAAGTATGTCATTTACCCCTATATACTATCTGTATGAAATTTTAGTTTTTTATTAGTACTTCATAAATTGGTTGTATGCTACCCTATACGAGCCGTTCTGAGTTCATAATTCAATCAATTGTAATATTTGTATGCGAAAACTCCTCATATCCTTGGAGCTGTTTCCTTTTTGTCCGTTCAATGGAAATTAGCAGTCATTCTTGCATTGCATCTCTCCAACTAAGGTTTTCATATGTTATTTTGCTCTTTTCAATTAAAAACTTAGTCGATGACATGTTGACAAGAATGATTGCTTTAAAGATGAATGCTGTGCTGAATTTGTTAATCCTGAGTGTAAACTGCATTGCGAAGTAACATATTGGGATTGTTGAAATTGTCTTATGACTTTCTTTTTGGCCATGTGTACAATCTATTGACAACCTAAAACAGAAAGGATAATTGACTGAAAACTTTGAATAGGAACTGATCGTCAGTGTAACTTACCAGGTCCTGAGACTCAACTCTTTTTACATCAGTCCAACTACCAAGTGTAGAAATGTCCTTAATCTCACTTATGTGATTATTCAGTTATTATCTACCAAGTGTCAAGTTCATTTTGGACTGCCAGGTTACATTTACCTAATAAGCTCTCTCTGTAGATTTGGATTATGCTTTGGGAATGGGCATTCTCTCTGGTAACTTATTCCCAGAATGAAAATATGTGACTATGGGTTTATCTGAACGTTGCACGTAATTACTGAAAATTGCAGGACACTGAAAATGGAGGAATTTCTGACAGACCAGATGATGCTGTTGATGTCTACCACACATACTTTGGTGTAGCTGGTAAATAAGTTTTGTTTGTTTCCACATTTCTTTACCTATGGCATGTCGTAAGTTGTAACCAGTCTGGATCATCATGATCAATGCATGGTTGGAGCTTTCGAGTTTCCAACTTCATCCAGAAGGGTTGCAACTTGCAAGGATCTGCTTATGAAGGGAATAAAATGCCAAAATGATATATAAGATGATTTATGTTCTTCATGTAATTTTTTTTTTTGTTCTTGGTTGCTTGCTCTCTCCTCCGTATTCATTACATTAAGGTTGATGCTTGCTCTCTCCTCCGTATAGCCTGGGGTGAAAGCAATAGATCCAGCATATGCTTTGCCAATTGATGTGTGAATAGGATTCTCTTGGGCAGATGAAGGCTTTGTTTGCAAGATTCTGATTTGCATGCATCTCTTGCTACAATTCACTATCTTTTCCTCGTTGACTTTCTTGTCACACAGATGTGCCAGTTAACTTAACCAATTAGAGCTGTCTTTAGTTTCGTTTCTGTGTAAAGAATTCAATTCCTGATTGTTTATTTCAGTGTTTAACCCAATTGTCCAAAGAGCATATCGACCTTAGGTTTGAAGTTTAAAGCTTGACCAGCTCACAGGTTTGAAGTTTAAAGCTTGACCAGCTCACACACTCCCCTAGTCCCAGACTACATCTACATATAAAATAAATAAAAGAGGTATTCAAATGTGATGAAGAGATGACAAGCAAGGCACTGAATGATGAACCCATCATGACTTAAAAGATGTATGGGATTGGACTATCACATATAATTTATAAGGAAGATTGTTTCAAAGCCACGCTTGGATATATAAGTATATTTTGTTTTAGAACTAAATATTGACGCGTGAATTGCAAGGTAGATCGATTCATAAAATATGTTTTTGGATTTCCAATTGAAATGAAATAAATAATCGCTTAATTAAACATTTATGTTTTATATCACTGGTGGTATCGACTTTTTTGTGAAACTGAAATTCACTGCACAAAAGAAAGTAAGAAATATATGTTTTTGCTAGCATATATGTAAAATTGGAGAAATTATTGTTGGCGAGTCCTTAGTTAGGATTTTGGTTACTTACCCATTTATCTAGTCATATTATAATTGAGATTTATTTCATATTGTAATTTATATTTATTTTATATTATAATTTGGATTTATTTCCTATTTTATTTAGGGTTGTACTTCTCTATAAATACCTCCATATTAGAGAAGAATAATAATATGAGCGTATCTTAGCATAACTGAATATTTGCCCTACTTTGTTTGACTTGGTATCAGAGTCAGGTTCTCTTGTGACCTGTGCTTGCATTCTACTTGCAATTTAAGTGCTCTCCTCCCTTCCTCTTTAATTTGGGGGGGGAGTGAAAGCGATATGCTCATTGACGTATCCCAATTACCTTGACCTATTCTCATGAAGATGTTGCTTATTTCTTGACTCTGACGACCCTTTCTCTTCAGGGGGAGAGAAAGATTGAAGAGAAGTTGTGTATGCGTGAATTAGCTAAAGTTTATATGGAAGAATTTATCGTTGCCATTGTCGCTATTGCCACCGTTGATATTGTCGTCGTTACCGCCATTGATGTTACCATTGCCGCTATTGTTGCCATTGATGTTGACTTTGTTTGCTTCACTTTCCGTTGTTATGGTCATTACTGATGATGTTACTGTGTTTTGATCCGTCTCTACCCTAACCCTAAACACTACCTATTTCCGCTGCACTATACACCTAATCTATGATCCTAGTCCGCCGCCGTCTTCTACCTTGCTATTGCCTCCACCGCTTACCTTGCTATTGCCTTATCTACTGTTGTGCTCACAGGGTTTCTGTGTTCTGCCTTATCTACTGTCGTGCTCACGGGGTTTCTGTGTTCTGCCTTATTTACTGCCGTGCTCACAGGGATTCTGTGTTCTGCCTTACCTATTGTCGTGCTCACATGATTTCTGTGTTTTGCCTTACCTACTACCGTGCTCACATGGTTTCTGTGTTATGTTTTTATGTGTTCTTCCATGTGCCCAATTTGTTAGGGTTTTTATGACAAGGTCTTTTCTACAGTTGTATGAGTGGTCAATGTCGAGTATGGTGTTCTATGACTCGCTTATCAAGTTGGGCATGCAAAATATCCAGTCATACTTAGTTAGGATTTTTGTTCCTTATTATGTTATGATTTTGGTTACTTACTCATTTATCTAGTCATATTATAATTGAGATTTATTTCCTATTGTAATTTATATTTATTTTCTATTGTAATTTGGATTTATTTCCTATTTTATTTAGGGTTGTACTTCTCCATAAATACCTCCATATTGGAGAAAAATAATAATATGAGTGAATCTGAGCATATCTGAATATTTGCCCTACTTTGTTTGACTATTATAGAATACAACAATAATATAATTACGTTATACATCTTGTACATGTGTTATAATGTTTGGAATTCCGATTATATGATCATGCATCCACTAACATTTCTCTAATCTTATTCTGTTCTTCCTAAACATTAACATATATATACTCGATATACTTAAATAGTCGACACGCATACTTTATTTTATTAAACATTAAACATAAGATAAGACAGCTGCCATGGCCAGGCAAAAATGTGATCAATAATTGAATAAATTAGTTTTGCATAAAATGGCTGGAGCTGGAGATGGATGACTTTCATTACACGGTTCAAAACCGAGTATATATACTGATTAAAGAAGTGGATTGAGAAGAAGAGGCAAGAAATGATAAGAGATATGCGAGTCTCTTCATTTATTTTGGTTGCTTTTGTTTTGCTAGCTACTAACTTGGTGCAGCAATTCAGTTTACAGGCTAATGCAGGTTGGTTATACACCATGTTTCTGTTTCAATTCCCAATCTTAATTACTTTACTAGATCCATTTGGACTGACTGAGTTTATATATATAGCCATGTTTGCAGATATGAGGCTGCGGAAAGTAGAAAGAAGACACATATTGCCAAGTCCACCACCTCCTCCCCATCCAAATAGGATCACCCGTTATTTTAGACCACGTGTTTCCGGTGGGGCTGTGGCCCCAATTTCTCCTTCACCGGCTGCAACATGAGTGTCAAAATAAAATATATATATATATTAATTAGAATTATTGTAATTTATATTGGGCGGATTGGTTTTCATGAATTCCTAATTTATGTGACGCTGATTGCTAATGCCTGCATGAATTAAATTCTTCAAGTAACCAAATCAAATCAAATTCAATCAAACCAAATCAAAAGAGGGAGGATTTGTGTTTGTATTCGATTTGCCCAACATGATGTTGTATGTATCAAATCAAAGACTCGAATAAAAACGGCATTCACAATTCTCGGAAAGGGACGTTTTGCTGTCGTAAGAATTTTAGGAAAACCTAGCTACATTTGTAATAATTAATTAGTAATTAGGTGGTGGTAAATGGAAATGGGCTAAACTTTAGGCCCTAATTCCCTCAACTGCGCAGGGAGTTGCAGCATAGTTTCCTTTTAATTATTCATTTATTACTTAACGCAAACGTACTGATATTAAGAGAGAAATATAATTCTGGATCGTTTGGAAATTGGAGATATAAATTCTGGATCAAAAACAAAAAGTTCTGATAAAGTTTTACTAATTTTCTCTTATAGAGATTCTTGCAAGATTTACGTGGGAAATAAAAATGAGAATATTGTAATTTAAATGCTCGACCTCAATTTCGAGATTTCTTTCTACTTACAATATACTTACCTTACCGACACAACACCAACACAACTATTTCCATCTTTAATCAAATGACCCAAAAGAAAAGAAAAGAAAAAAACATAACCAACCAAGTCTATATATAAATACCGCACTCTCGTCTTGTCTCAAATCCATCCATTACAGACCCTATAGCCTATCTCCTCCTCCTAAAGAAAACCCTAGTTTCCAAGCTCTGTCTTTGATCGTGAGGGTAGGAGGAGTTGGAAAATTTGTCTACAATGGAGTCTCGATCTTACATGGTATGATCGATCAGAATATTATATAATCTCTCAACATATTTATTATTTCTTCCTGTTTCCATTTTCTCCTCTTTGATTGGTTCTGTACATTCATTTTGGACATGTCTTTAAAATTTACAGACGTGTGGACTGAAAGTGGACACCAAGTCCGGCGGATGGCATAAGTGCCTAACGAAAATGCTGAAAAAGATCCGAGGTACTCTTAATCTATTTCTTCTTCTTCTAAACCCTAAACCCTAAATCCTAACGTTACGTTACGGTGCATAATATACTTAATCGGACAGAAATTGAAGTGTTGAGTTTGTGTTTGAATGGTTTAGGAGCGTCATACAATGTAGATGCAGAAGCAGGTATGGCATATATTTCCGGTAAAGTAAACCCGACGAAGTTACTGAGAAGACTAGTGCAGGCTGGGAAAGAGGCAGAAATCTGCTGGGTCAGGACTGGAGATCAATGTACCAACTATGACGGCTATGGCGAGGGCAATATTGTCAATGCCAATGGGTATTATGACCATCATTCATATTATAGGGCTGGAGCAGTTGACCCTTATATGGATGGGTATAATGGTCCTTACGGACAAAGATCATCATATTACCCATACGGCCATTACTATCCCCAGGCGCCACCATACACCTATTATTGATCATCCAATATAATTAATTAGTTCACCCCTTGTATTTGAGGAAGCAATTTTGTGTCAGGGTTGATTAGGAGTCGACCGACCTACCTGGTTACATATACACTAGCTAATACGTGCATGGTATTCATTGTTTTTTATTGGATACTATGTAACGCAACTGAATAAGCAGTCTTTGTGGACGGATTGCAAATTTTGTTTTTCTTTCTTTCATGGATTATAATTTCTTTTTGGTTGAGTAAAATTCTTTCCATTTAATTCTGAGCTTGTATTGTATTGGGTAAATAAAGTAGTGCATGCTTGCATGTACCGTGAGCATGTGATTTCACCTTTGCATGCTGCTCCCTATTCAACTTGTGCAGGTGTATAAACAACTCTTTCC